GGAGGGGGCCCAGAGGGTGGTGGGGGTGGTGGGCCACTAGCATCTGCTGGGCCTCCTGCAGAGGTGGGACCGGCAGGAACAGCATCTGGTTCTGGCCCCACTGCCGGGAGGTCAGGCATGTTGGAACCCATCACAGACGGAGCAATGGAGGGGCCCTGGTCAGCACTGAAGGCCAAGTCGTCGGCAACCCCTGAGAGAAATTACACACGTGGAAAGCCACATGTAAGATTTTTTTGTCATTTGTAGGAAACATGCATACACTGTGGACACAACAATATGTGTATATATATCATATACACATAGTCAAACTTGTCTAAGACAGAATCGCAAAGAAGCAAAAAAAAACCATTCCATCATAAACATTTTTCGTCTTGGACAGGGGAACGTAGAAGGAGGGGGGGGGGGGGGTATCAGAGGCCCAGCTAGTGGGATTAATGCTTGCCTCTTGTCCAATAGATTCCAATTTCCTACCTTATACAACACTCGTACAATCCATATATATATATAGAGAGAGGACGTAAGCTCATCTGTGTTTCTGCCAGTAAATCATTGTTGTGTGGTAGATGTGTACATGTACATCTAGATCTACTCTTCTCTTCCAGCTAAAATCTGAATCTGACGCTTTCAAATGGGGGGTAAATGGAGGTAAACATAACAGGAAGGTACCTCAATAATAATTACAAGATTTTAGCAGTAACTTCCCTTATAATTGGTATCAAAACAACCTCTGTCACAGTTCGGTAGATCCTACGGGCCAGAGGCACAGCCCTACACAGTTCAGGCCCGCATATGCTACGGGAGTGGCAGCAAAGAGGTTAAAGTCATGACTTGAACATTTTGGGAAATCAAGCAACAAACATCACAAAATAGCTTTTAACCCTTTCGTTGCCATGGGGCAACTGATTTTCAGCTTAGATCGTTACCCAGGACAGCAGCCTAATGTCTCAGTGTAAATGGATGCGCCGACTAGATCTAGCACACCCGTGACACATTTCAGACACTGGGTCTTTGATTGTGTCACTTTTCTCATTTTTCTTATTCCCCACTTCCTCCCATCTTACTCATAATTTCAAATAACTTGCAAATATAAGTTAAAAAGTGAATTTATTTGCCTTTTTAAAATCATTTTGATGTTTACATTTTACGAGAACTTGTGGCCCCCCGCAAGCCTAGATCTATGTTTATCGATTGATTGCATTCCTAGCAGTAAAGAAATACTAGCAAATTTGGTACCGATATGGGCGTCTTTTATTCCCAAATAAGAATCTCCGCAGCGCTTGTGGTTAAAACTCCGTACAGAAGAATTAGAGCCAGGTTTTTAGCATGAAGTACAGGTAACGTCATATGGGCAATCCGGAGCAGCAAATTTTGCGACCTTCTGCGACATACATGGTACAGCACTGCGCTAAAAATTACTCATTTTCATGACGTACGAAGTACATCTTAAGGCAACTAAGGGGTTAACAATTGTATTAGCTCACAATGATACAAACTTTATGGAGCTCTCTCTTTGAAATAGGTTTGAGAACACTTTCATGCACATGGTTTTCGAGGGAAGTTTCTTGAAATCCCCAAAACACTGTCTGACCCTATACTGGACCCCAAAAACCTGTGTGTGGCCTTATTATATACAAACAATATACATGTAGGCTACGGAAGTCTCCACCTAAGATCCCACCGCTTACGATTGCGGTTCGCTCCAGATCCCCCTGCTTTAAGAAGACAAGATTTTTACGACACAAAAATTACCCCTAAGATCTCACTTTGATTCAATCTGAAGGTCTACATTCCACTAAGATCCCACGTTTCAGATCATAATCTACGGAACAAACTTGCAGGCAGGCATAGCCAAACAACCAAGAGTGAAAAATTGAGATCATTGAACTGCCCCTCACATCAAGGATCAGCCACTTTCATGAATGTGATCACATAAGCATTGTACAACTCGATGAAACAGTCCGTACAATGTTTGCCCCACCTGTGACCACATCAAGGAGTGAACTGACGGACGCATTTTTTTCCCCCAAATATCGCACTCACATCTGAGCTCTCCACTATTATGGAACATTTTTAAAAGGGTATGAAAATGCTCACAACGAAAGGCACAGCAAATATCAAATGGACTGTAATGAGTGAGTTTATTGACACATTTTATCATTAATGATGAAACCACAGTAGACTTGGTATAATGTGAAGCCATTTGACACAAAATTCCTGTTAACATGACAGGATTTTAAATCCCTGAGGGGATATATAATATATAGTAACTTCCCTTGACACGAAATATGTATAACACAAAGAAATTCTCTCGTACTGTAAAGTTTGAGTTATCAAGGTTTTACTATATGTTCTTTGAAAAATATATAGTAAAAGAAACCAAAGTTTGGAACACATCCCCTCTTGTTCTTTACTAGCAGACTTACCTGGGAGATTTGGAAGGAGCTCCGGAACAGCAATTTCTGGAACAGTACCCAATTCTGGCATGTACAAGAAATTCTCTGCAGCAGCTCTGAACATTTCTTCATTGTGTATGATAGTTGAAGGAGCTTCGGCCATCCCAGCTTCTTCTTCTTCAATAGCAGCCCTGGTCTTCGTAACCACACCAAGAGGATCCAACATAACATACTTCTTGTAACTGAAGGAAGATATTTTTTTTAAAGAAGGAGATATATTTTACTGCACTCAATCTTAAACCCGTATTCTGACTAAAATAGAACAGTAGCCTACATGCATTAGCTACATAGAACAGGCACCTCCAATAATCAGAAAAAGAAATGTAATTACATTCATGAGATATGTGTGCAGTTAGGGGTGAAAAGGCCTTATTCTGACAATTTCTCCTTCTGAGTCAGGAAAAAAGCTTAATAAAAATACCCAGAGTACAACTGCAGACGGAGAAACACCAAGCATCGTGGAAATATGCACGAAAATCTAATCTCAAATACAGCCTCCACATGAGATATTTACTTTGGAGTATGAAGCTGACATCGTAGTTTTCTGCATGGAAAATTTCAAAATTCTGCGAAGAATTTTACTCCCAAAATGACCAAATTCTGCAAAAATTCTGCAAGGATTACAACCATGTCTAAGGATTACAACCATGTCTAAACTTCTTTTTCCATACTGCTTTCAATATATATATAAGTACCAATTAAGTACCAAATAATCAGACGCGGTTCGTCCATAGAGCACGGTCGTGCAGTGCCGCCCAAAATTTTGTAATGTTCTTATACGAAAAGCACCCACAAACATGAAATAAAAGAAGTCTGAAACAGACACTAGCCAAATATATACAATATCAAAACAAGGTCATTTCTGTGTCAAAAGCGCCGAAAAAAATCTACTATGTCATTGTCATGCCAAAGTCCACACGCTTTAACTAAACGTAATAGAATATTCAACAGTGGCAATCTGACCTATAAATCGCTCTTTGGGATAACCCAAGCGATGACGACACTCATAGCGAGTTCGGCAGTACATTAATATTAACAAGACGGCACATTTCAAATGTGCACCCACGAAACATAGCCCACAGTAGGCAGTCTAAAAATAAACGAGATAGCCTGTACACTATTCAATGCCAAAATTATGTGATCCCCGGAGCAATCCAGCGGAGTGCTCAAGTGAATTGTGATTGGTTCATTGTCTTGCCACTATTTTAAGCAACTCTGTGACCCTGAACCTGAGGGAGGTGAACGTGACATACTTAAGTCACCGCTCTATGAGTTGTGCCTTTGAATGGTTTTGTAGTGGAGCGGTGAAAGTTATTACTCGAGTGTTCAGTTCCAATGCAGGACAAAGAAATTGATCTTTAGCTAACAAACATATTTAGTTCTAAAAATCAAAGCGACCAGTAAAAAGAATGAAAATAAAAGCATAAGGTCCTCCTTCACCAGCCCAAAGATCTTACCATCCCATTTACTATGCCCTTGACTATCTTCATCCTGCTGTTGCTTAATTGTGCACGTCCACTTTTTAGCCCCACGAGCCGCCTCTGCAAATAATCGTAAGCTGAAGAGTAGCACTACAGACGCAGTAAATAAAATAAAAAACCAAGCAATTAGCAGCATACAATCTGTATTATTGTTTAGAAACACAAGCTCATAACATAAAATACTAGCAAACGAGTGACCCAAAGAAATGAGACACTATACCGGTAATTTCAAAATCAGGTGATCTGGTGTTTTGAGCTTAGGTCATCGATTGTCAGGAGGCCTTGAAGACAAAAAAGACAATTATGTTGTTGAGAAAAAAGAAGTCCCAGGAAAATGGGCAGAATATGTAGGACAGAATTATTTGAAGACAAAAGACCACCCCTACCACAACCAAGCAACAACAATGGTCCCAACATTCTAAAGTCAGAGGTAGAGCTCGCAATTAGAATTAGAAACACCCCAGAAGGAAAAGCCGCGGGAGAAGATGGCATATAAACACAGAAATGCCCACCCACCGTCGATTTACAGATGTGGTGAATTACCACATTACATACGTACTAACAGAACAGTTTTCCACCAGACGCATGTGTGCTTTTGGTAAACTGAAGCTGACGTTCAGCGGCATTTGTTCTCAATGCACTCATTTCTTTTAAAATTTTTGCTGAAAGACAAATCTCGTCTCGCCTGTACTCCTATGTACAATAGCCGTTACTAGTGCATGCACAATAGAATCTTGATAAAAGTGCTACTGACTGAAATGTTTTAGGCCATTCTCAAAGGGGGGGATATTAACATCTTTTTCTTATGCACAGTAGAATTGTAAATGGGCTAATTTATCAATGTCATGCTCATACTGTGCCGGAAAAACATAGGGAATAGGGGGAACTGCTGCTTTTTCTTTCCTCATCTTTACTATCGTCATTTTTTCATCTATTTCTTTTGTATGTTTGTCGCTCTCTTTGTGAACTGCTATTTCCGGGGAGTCTTGATGGTCAAAGCAGACTTTGCACTGTTGATGCGAGAGAGGTGAGCAGAGTAAGCCTGATTCCCCGTTTATACCTCTCTGTTGACATCCGCCCCTAGGCGCTCATAATATGAACTATGCAGTTGCAAGCTCCATAAATCTTACTAAGGGTTACCCACTACGGATGGGATCGGCCGATCCAGCCAGCCGTATTGGGCACCTCGTTAGGCCTATAAACTTAAAACAAACAAGAATCTAGATCAATTTTGTTTTTTTTTAAAAGAGAGCGCCCCAATTTCCAGCTTCCGGTGAGAGGGAGATCACTTTAACATCGTCAGCTTGGATCAGTTAAATTTTTTTTCCGCAATTCTACGTCTGAAAGCATAATAATGCTGTAAATTACTGTAAAAATTCTTCAAAATTCTGCAAAAAATCAAAATTCTGCAGCGCAGTTGACATATTTTTCCGCGGCCGTGGTTGCAGCGCTCGCAGAAAACTACAAAGTCAGGTATGAAACAAGTCTTTTTCCACCCTTTTTCCTTTTTCTTCCCTCTTTCGTTCAAGCTTTACCTCAGAAATGTGCTACTTGAGTCTGAAACACCCCAATAATTCTTGCAATAATAAATATACAATCTCTGCAACTTATGAGATTAGCAATAGCTAGAAGAGATAAAACTTGAAAAGCACAAACTTTATCATGAGTTAATTTTGGAGAAAAAAAACGACAAAAATCAGAGACAAATCATGAAAAAGCAACCACTCACGGATTCTCTGTGGTGTTGAACAGAAGCAAAGAGCTGACAGATGGAACATCACTGGGCAGGCCTCCTAAACCTTCACCTTGTTGACTTTGATCTTTCCGAGCGCGTATACTGAGGTGAACATTGTAAAATTGTAGCTTTTCCCGCAGAACTTGCTCATCTACGGCAGGATGCTTTTCCTGCACCTATAAAAATACAAAGCATCGAATGAAGAGCAAGATTTAACAAAAGAATTTAGGTTCCTCATTTCTCTCAATCTTGGTTTTATGATCCATGATCCATGCAGTCATTATTAAGAGCTATTCTACAGATTAAGAAAACCACATTAAACTATTCTTGTACATACACATCTCAACTATATACAATTGATGTACATTAGAACCTGCTCTAAAGGCCACTTGTCCAAGACAATCACCTGTAAAAAGGGCCACTTCCTCTTTCCCCCTGGAGTTACTTTTGATGTAATGACACTGTCCAAGATATCCACTTGTCTAAGAGTAGACAATTACTTTCCTTCTTGATAATGGGTGGTCATCTTGGACAATTTTCACTGTGCATCATATTCTTTTCTAATATCACATTAATGGCTGTAACAATAGATCCTCATCTAAGATGTGTTTAACAGTTTGCAGCTTTTTCTCAAAAGTGTAGGTTGGATGGCAAGAGATCTACAATCCTCTGAAAGGACCATTTCCACATTCAAGGAGTCCTGTCCTATCTGTTCCTGTTTAACATCGCATGTTTCAAGGAAACAGAGAAATTTACTAAAGCATGCAGGTTCGTCTGAAAAAAAAAAAGCAAAAGAGGGGCTAAGGGTACCCACAAAGACTGCTAAAAATTGAATAAGGAAAACTCACTCCTTGATCACAAAAGAAGCATAAAATTATTAATATGAGCTCTAGACACAGAAATAGCGCATATAAATAGTCAACAATCAACAGTTTTACACTTAACTACAAACTGCTCTCGGGTCCATGATTTTAGCTTGAAGTGCCAAGTGTTTTGATTTTGTGGATAGCTTTTCCCACAAGAAAGACATAATCCACATCTCTCATTGGCTGAAACAGAATGTCTAAACAATGAATCTACAAAACAGATTTTTACTTCTTCACAGATTCTCAAACGACTGAAACACTTGTCTAAATATTAGACATTCATTTATGTCAATCACAGTGCAAAATCAAATTAAAAAATGAGTTGGATTTACAAGATCTGTCTCTTATGTAATGTTTTAAATCTCTCAAAGGGCTTGCATCACAATACATTTCAAGTGGTATTCATAGTCCAAAACATACACCTACGAGGCAACTAGGATCAGCCTAGGTCTAAACTACTTTAATTGAACCAACTAGCCATTATAGGTTATTTGGCCAGGGCTGTTTCTTTCATTGTGGGCCTAAAGCCTAGAACTAATTACCCCAAAACATCAGGGAAGCCAAGTCTTAGAACATATTGTCACTTTCGTAGTCTAACCCTATAGCATCAAAGGCACAAGAAGTGTGTTTTATAGGCCCAAAATCTAATAACGCATGACCGTCTAATGCCTCCATTCGGCGTACTATTTGTACAAGCAGCATCACGGCAAGACAGCTCCTTCTCAAAGACAAATGCGCTCTTTGTCTTTTTGATTAAAGAACTTCATCTTTGTGTTTGACTGAACAGCTGCCTTGAGAAATTCAGGTAAGTGAAAATGTATGGCAGAATTACCTTATAACGGCTATCAATCTCTTTCATTAAACACAATAACAATTTGGGTGTTTCCTTGATGATTTCTTTCTTTTATTGAAGTTAGAAAATAAATATAGAGATAGGTGTATAAGTAGATCTGGATTGTGATAATAATCGATCTACAATTCCATCCTCTATCCATGGACCAGAACAGCAGAGGCTTCAGCTCATAAAACTTGCCCCAAGAGCGGATGCAAAAATCACACCAGCAGACAAACCAAGAAGACTTCAGTGAATCCCTCCCTGATATATCTCTCCATCTTGGTTGACAAAGAAATGGATGAGTCTTTCATGACTCATGTTGTAGAGTCCCTTTCCAGTGGCATTCGGGACATTCTTGACGGACATGTGTCAGTGGCAGTCAGAGACAGTGGTGATTCAGTGGCAGTGGCAATAGGAGACAATAATGAAAAGGTGCCAATGGCAGTGGCAGTAAACAACAGTGGTATGTCAGTGGCAGAAGTCAGTGGTGCATCAGTGGCAGGAGTCAGTGGTATGTCTGGGGTGGTAGGAGACAGTGGTATGTCCCGGATGGTGGGAGACAGTGGTATGTCCCGGATGGTAGGAGACAGTGGTATGTCTGGGGTGGTAGGAGACAGTGGTATGTCCCGGATGGTAGGAGACAGTGGTGCGTCAATGGTAGTGGCAGTAGGAGACAATAATGATTATGTGCCAGTAGCAATAAGAGACAGTGGTATGTCTGGGGTGGTACGAGACAGTGGTGTGTCTGGGGTGGTAGGAGACAGTGGCGAGTCAGTGACAGTTGAAGACAGTGGTGTGTCAATAGCAGTATGAGAAGGTGGTGCGTCAGTGGCAGTGGCAGTAGGAGACAATAATGATTAGGTGCCAGTAGCAATAAGAGACACAGGTATGTCTGGAGGGCAGTGGGTGACAGTGGTGTGTCAGTGGCAGTAAGAGACAGTAAGTGATTCAATGACAGTGGCAGGGCAGTGGCAGAAGGAGACAGTGATGATTAAGTGTCAGTAGAAGACACGGTGCATCAGTGACAGTAGGAGACAGTGGTGTGTCAGTAATAGGAGAACAAGTTTCAAGCACAAAGATGGGAATGATAAGCAATTGCATTGTCGGGGGGGGGGGGGGGGGGGGGGGGGGGAGGAAGGAGATAAATCTAACTGGAAACAAGAGATGAAAAAGAGAAGAGGGCGAAAGGAGAAGCCAGTGTAGGACAATGGCAGTTTCGTTCAAGAAGAGAAACCAGCAAAATAAATATAAATATCTGAAAAGTGTGGGAGTGAAAGCAAGAACACCAAATGCCATGTGTTTAATGAGAATGAGCGACTCTGTTTTTAACTTCATGTGGTCTCTTTCTTGGCCAGGGAAACGTGTGTCTGTATCCTCAATTGTAGACTATGTTGTTAAAGTGAAAAGTAAAAGAGTAAAAAGTGACTCAGAATTACCACAGAAAACTACAGACCTGTACAATTTGAAAGCTGGAGACAACACGACAAATAGGCAAGAGGATGTTCTTGAACACAATCAACTTGTTGGATTACTTGGTTCGAATCTGTGCCAATGTGGCAAAAGACAGTCCTAGCGAGGTCAGAATCCGGTCAGTGAGTGTTAGCGAGACTTGTGAAGGGGTGACTCGGTTCCTGGACAGTTATGTGACAATAATGCCATCTCATTCCGGCCAGAAGAAGAGTGATGAGACCTACATCGAGCCCCTTTTCAACAGTTATTACAATCTTTATTAAAAATACGCTCGGTTTGCATTTTTAAAAAGTAACAAAACTGGCATGCCAGAAGGTTTTTATGGATAATATATATTGTGAGAGAAGATTTGAAATCTTCCTACCCCACAAAGACCGGAGCGACATTTGTGTAGCTTTTGAGGTAGGAAATCTCTTTGACGAGGACTATTCAGCACACAGGGAAGACAAAGAACGTGCGAGATGCAAGAAGAACAGTGACAAGGTCTAAGCCTCATCCAGCGATGGAAAAATCAAGTTGATAGCAATGGATTTGCAGGGTATTCTCCTACTACCCCATCTTAGAAAGCTTCAGAGCGCTGTTATCTTTCAAAACTATGTGTCCACAATTTCACTGTCTTTGACTGTGTGATATGCACGAAGTCTCCTTGAATATAAAAAGAGCTCTATAAGGTGTAACCGAGCTTTTCCTACATGACTCACTTTGAAATGATGATGTTTGATTTCTCTGAGACCATCGGTGTCTGTGAAAACTGCGCTGAATGGCTGCAGACGATCCTCAGCAGGGTACTTGGCACAGGCAAAAACTTTCGTCGCTTTGTTGCTTCCCTTGAGTTTGTCCACGCGAGCTGCAGCCACATTAACTCGGTCGTTAATCTTTTGCAAATGTGCCTTGTTTTCTGTCACCCTCTTGCCGATTCTAGCAAACACTTCATTTGCTACCTGGGGCCGACAAATCAATCAGATTTTAAAAATACATTATATCTCAAGATAACATGGAACATTAAGTGACAGCTTTTATCACCATCGAAAAAGCTGTAAACTGATAAGGAAATAAAAATGAGTCTAAAGTTAACCCTCATAAAAAAATGACTGGCACTTATGAACCTCTTTACTGTCTGTATCAGGCAGTTGAGTTTTCTGAATCAAAAAATTTCAGAGATTGTGATAGTTTCTTCAGCTGGGGTAAATCCTTGTCATGGTATATTGCAAAAAAGTCAGTGACAAAGGTCCATAAACTACCTTCGTGAAAAATGTTAAGTCGTAAAGGCTGAGGTTTTAAAAAAAAAATCAATATAAATGTAAAGTGAAGCTGTGTTAAGTTAGAACCTGAAACATTAATTCCCTCTAGCTATTACAGTTTTCTTCAACAAGCTATTTAGAAATATAAGAATCTAAAGAACAGATCAAAGAAATTAAACAAAACATTAAATACGGTCACAGAGTTTTAAAACACTTTTTCAACTTGATATTTCAAAAGAAAGAGGCACAAATTATGAGCGATCCTTACATTTAGAAAAACAACTCTTGTTGTGTATATCTAATTAATGCTCCCATACTATAAACAAAAAAATCTGTACCCCTACCTTATCTAAATATTCAAGGGCATCTGCAATGTGGTGTATTGTCTCCTCTCTGCGGAGGTCAGGAGGAATCGTTGGGACATTAAATCCCTGGATTCCCATGACGACCATTTAATGAAAACCTGCAATGATATAACAAAAGAGCCTGTATGGTAACCTGGGTCATTCGAGTACAAGATAGATTCAATGAAGGACTGGATTTCTTATGCTCCAATACTGATTGAATAAACATCCACTGCAGATTAAGCATTATATGTTTAATCAGTCTAATTAAAGACTTCAAACATCCTACGACACATTTTTCTGTATTTATATATGGGTCAAAAACGATGACCTACGGGGAAGGCTAATACATAAATACACCTAAAACTTTAAGTTGAAAAGTTCCAAAAATTGGGGACAGGGATCTACCTGACTCCGACTTGATAAGGCACTCTGTGAGGAACCCCCCCCCCGTTGCAACAAAAATTCCGCTGCTGGTGCGCTGCGTGCAATAATAATACATTTTTTACTTTTAAAAACTTACACAGGCACATTTTTCATTTGACTATATTTTTAGAATGCACCATGTCCCTCCATGAAGATGAACTAATAGTAATAGGATAATGCACTGTGGGTCTTACTGCTGGGGCCAGTTTTCAATATGCCCGCCAGATGTTTGATTCCACAGACTCATGCGCAACTAACGTAGCTCTATGACTATCATTGTTCAGTGGCCAGGAGAAAAATAATAACAATGTTGCATCTGTACCACACCTCTGCTAACAATCCATGCCCGCCATGCGCATCAACAATTCCCAAACGCATACACAGCACATTAGTGCTGGGACGATACCACTATTTAGGAATCGATACGATACGTGATACTTTTTCAAAGAATCGATTCGATACCGATTCTGATACCTAGTAGGCCTACTTGTACTTGATCGATAAAAAAAATATTCTTTACCAATGCACACATCATGCACGCAAAATCAACACATTAACCTGAGAATGCAAATGTTTTTTTGCATATATAATAAACACTTAACCTGTGAAGGAATATCCTTCTCAAAATGTTCCCACACAATACTAGTCTTTCTTGATGCCATGTTGATTTATAGGCGAAGAGCGCATTTCTTTTTTTAACCGGATGTTTCGATTGGACTTGAAAACAACAAGAGTATCATCCCTTGGATCAGTGAATTGCCTGGGAATAATTAGTCCCCATGTATCGAATCCTTTTCTAAAGTATCGATTCGATTCTGATACCATCAGGGTATCGATGCATCGAATCGATTCCCGCCCAGCACTACAGCACATGTGCTGGCCACCTTTCCAAACGCACTCACAGCACATGTACTGGCCACTTTTCCAACCTCTTTCAACTCCAGCTCATGCTCAAACACGTCCTATGTACGTACCCATCTGATTAGTCCCACAAGATGACTGTGTGACTCTGATAAGTCACTTGCAGAGTACAGTATGCCTTACGCAATGCATGAAATGATTCATGGTACAGGGGAAATAACATTCCATTGGAACAGAGTAGACATACAGCTTGTTGCAGGAAAAAATGTGCTAAGCTGCATTAGTGGGGACAGTTAGTTCTGCATGCAAGCTACTTCAAACCTGCAAAGATCTTGACCTTCGCCACAATGGAATAAAGGCTTGGTCCCTTGTCAGCAACCTCTCGGGAGAAAGACAAAAAAGCAAAACCCCAAACCTTTTTTCCTTTCAGGAAGTACCATCACTGAAGACCAAAAGAAAGCAGGACATTTTAACCGGTTTTTCACCTCTATAAAAAGGGCAGGCAGACTGACTAAGGCTGATAGACTCCTCATAAACACGGCTAAGCATAAAGAAAAAGCCCCTACTGTGAACAACTCGCTTTTTGAAGAGGATTATAGCATGGTGGGACTCAGTCAGGCCCTCAAAAAGCTAAATAAAAAGAAAGCCCCAGGACCAGACAAAGTACACAACGAAATACTGTGCAACCTTGCAGCTAGAGGAAAACAAGTTCTTCTTTTCCTAATAAATACCATGTGGAGAACAAGTGGAATACCAAAGGCATGGAGGATCGCCCAGATTATACCGCTCCTGAAAAATGGGTAACCACCTGGAGAAGCTAAAAGCTACCGACCTATCTCATTAACATCATGTATCGGTAAGCTTGCAGAAAGAACAATAAACAACCGCCTCTACTGATACCTGGAAAACACTAACAGCTTGAACCCACACCAAGCAGGCTTCAGAAAAGGCAGCAACACAGAAGATCAACTTTTTAAACTAAGTCAAAACATCCAGCATGGATTTCAGGAGACTAAACACACTGTCACCATCTTTGTAGATCTCCAACAGGCGTACGACAGAGTGTGGAGGAAAGGCCTACTCATGAAAATGATGGACCTCGGGATACATGACAAACTATATAAATGGATCAAGTTCTTCCTGTCGGATCGAAACATTGGAACCAAGGTAAACAATGCCCACTCGTCAAGAGAAATACTCGAGGAAGGCCTACCTCAAGGTTCCTGTCTGAGTTGCATTTTGTTCCTGATCTTCTTTGTGTTTTGTTTAGTAGAGGTTTTACGGCGCTCGCAACTGCATAATGGTCATATGAGCCCCAAGGGGAGGCTGTCAACAGACATGTCCTTACAGGGAATCAGACTTACTCTGCTCACCTCTCTAGCTTCAACAGCACAAAGTCTGCTTCGACTACCAAGGCACCCCGGAAACAGCGGGTCACAATAGTGTGACAAACATACAAAAGAAGTAGAGGAAAAATGACAATAGTAAAGATTAGGAAAGAAAAAGCAGCAGTCCCCTGTTGTAGATCAGGCACACTTATGAGCGTGACATTGATTCATCAGCCCATTTACAATTCTACTGTGCATGAACGAGAAATGTCCCCCCTTTGGGAATGGCCTAAAGACACTTCAGTCAGTGGCACCGCCCCGGGGGGTGGATCTTCTTTAATGATGTGACGAACGTGCTGAAATCAGAAAAGACTCTTTACGCTGATGATCTTGCTCTCTGGCAGACACATCACAGCATGAAGTAGGAGCAGGGAAATTAAATGAAGACCTCATAAGGCTCTACAATTACAGTCAGAAATGGAAGCTTAAAATAAACTGCACGAAAACAGTATACACCATCTTTATGAAGAGCCATAAAGCAGCCAAAGAAAATCTCCAACTAAAATTTAGGAAATGAAAATCTCCCCAAAGAAGAACAACCAACATACCTAGGAGTCAAACTTGACCAAAGTCTAACCATGAAAAGCCAAGACGAGAACATAAAGAACAAGGCAATCAGACAAACAAACTTTGAGAGCTCTATACCTTGGTTATGTCTGATCTTCCCTGGAATACAGCAATAGCCTACTCACTATATGCAGTACAACTACTTGCAACACCCTTGACAAGGTCCAAAACAATGCCCTTCGTTTTATAAATGGTGGCATGAGATCCACACCTACCGCTGCATGAGAAATCCTTTCAAATGTTGAACCCCTGAGAATCCACAGAGATAAAGCAGTTTTGAGCTACGTGAAAGAACCAAAAGAATGTGCTCAAACCACCCAAACAGGAAATTAGTAGAAACATGGGAAGCAAAGAAACGAATTCAACAAAAGTCAATCATGCATCACATCACAAAACTAATCTACAACAAAACAGAACAGAAACCAAAAGAGTCAACCAAAACATTCCTCTCCACCTTTCTTTAAAAAAGCCAATCATTACAACAACTCTCAGAGACAATAGCACAAAATCTTCAGACCCAGTGACACTGATGCTTGCATCACATCAAACAATTGACAGCTATTCAGATGACTGGATACATGTCTATACAGACGGCATAGCATTCAAAGGCATGACCAAAGCCGGATATGGAATACTAATACAGTACCCAGATGGAAGTTCCAGTGAGTTTTCTGCAGCCTGTGGAAAGAAATGCAGCAACTATGATGCAGAAATGATTGCAATTGAAACAGCACTGTACCATCTCCGCACAGTTTTTGAAACTCATCCTGGAAAAGCACAGAGTATTGTGAATTTCACTGACTCACTATCAGTCTTGCAAGACATAGAAAATGACCATCATCTAAACCAAGATTTGACTCATATACTATTTGGCTCCAATCATCTGATAACATCCTGTGGCATCAACCTAGTAATGCAGTGGGTCCCCGGACACTCAAACATACCTGGAAATGACAGAGCAGACACACTTGCCAAACAGGGATCTAGACAGGAACAACCCAACATTCCAACTTCACACAACACTGCAAAACATATCATTAAAAGCAACAACAAACAAGATTGGATGAACAGATGGGCCCTGGGAAAGACAGGCAAAGCAGTTTTCAAACATATGACCACAATAAAAAGGAATGACAAAATCAACCACCTACCGGTACAGAGAAAGAAACGGACCACGATCTTCCGCCTACGAACAGAACGTATACAGCTCAACTCCCACCTGAACAGAATAAACCCAGAACTTCCCCCAATGTGCCCCTTGTGTGACTATGCATATGAGACTGTGGATCATCAACTGTTCCACTGCACAGCCCTAAATGATATCAGAGCTACCCTTCTCCCTCCGAGACCTAACATAGACAACACACTCTATGGAACATTACAGCAACTGCAACAAACCTGCACTTACCACTACATGGCATTGGACAGAAGGGCGAGAGCCCAGATGTGGCTGGATCGATAACAACAACAACAACAACAACTCTGCATCAGTTCACAGGCTGACCCGGTGCAAGACAGTCATTATTGTACACATATGACCAGTCTCATCATCTGAATCCCACCTTCTGTTTCCCATCTCTCACATCTTGTTTCCAATGTACCGTATCCAATTTTCCATATTCCATATCCCGACTTTAATTCTGTAAGGGCGCTGCATTTTCCTTCATCTCATTAGATGGAACGCTTGAAGCAGGCCAAAATATAGTGGAACCCACTTATAAATAGTACCTCACTTTTTCCTTTATCTTTGTAAATAAAATACTGCTATAGCGCAATCACACAAACATGCGAGTCGTTTATTGTGGAATGTATTGCTGCTACTGTGCAAAGCGCATAGGCCATTTATTCATATATGTAAAACCTCGCAAGTTGAGAAA